CCGAGGCGCCAGGATGACTCTCGAAGTTCTCTAGGCCCATCGTGTAGACAGCGAAAGACTTGGCGCATGGTCCTGCGCTGGGAGCAGCATCAAGCCTCTTGTCCTGGTGCAGACCCATGGCTGAGAACTTGCCGTGCTCGTCGTCGCTATGATCCACAACGGTCTGACGCTGGGGGTCGGTATCGCCGATATCCTCCAGGTTGCTCTGGGCCTGATATGATATGTGCAAAGGGCGGATGGACCCGGAAATCCGATCCGAATCGAACTGATCGAGACGAATGACAAGGAGACCTGAGCGGCTGCAGCGATACATCTCTATCTCACCTTCCTGGTCCAGGATGGCGCGTCCGTTGGCGAGATCCTGGACGAGACCGAGGGGGGCTTGCGCCGGTAGCGACAGCAAGAAAGGCACACGATCTGAATCCTTCAACTGATGAGACTCGAAGCAACCGCTGACAGCACCGCACGTACCCACAATGCGATAGGGAAAACACTTCTTGCTTGTCGTGGAACTGCCAGCCTGACCACCAATGCCACTGTACGATTTCCGCTCTCTGTGGACCCATTGTGGAAAGAACCCTAGCTTCTCGCACTTGTCCTCTGCGTTGAGGGCCCAAGCTTTTCCGTGACAACAAGAATTTCAACCTTCGTCCAGGGTAGCCCATACACCATCATCCTTGAAGACGCCAACCAAACGAAGCTTTGACATCGCCGACGTGTCGGTCGTTACTGAAGGTGCTGGCGTTGGTGCCATGAACGCGATGAGCTCATTATCTGCTGCTTCTTGCACACAGTCGTGTAGTAATGAAACCATCTCACTTGTGCTTATACCACCTGTGTCCTGACAGATCGACATAGCGCGCCTCGTGAACATCTTCATTACAACCTTCAGCTCTTCAGGAGATACACGGCGGTCGCCCTCGATGACCGTCTCGATCGCCTCCGCCTGGAGGTTAGAAGAGAGTTTGACCTTCTCCGCCGTACTCTTCTTGTCCTCAGCGAGTGCACGGGGCCGTTCATCGATGTACGTCAAGCACTTGCAGCAGAACGCGCGATGAATGTCGGCAGTGCTACCCCGGTGGTCCACGAGATCGTGCGGACACTCATCCGGCTGATGTAGTGCCTCGTATCTCTCCTTCTTGGTCTTGTGACCGCAGTCCCTGCAGGTGCGGGCGATAAAGCGCGCTGATGAACCAGACCCCGAGAAGCTGGTGCAACCACGAGCACAGGGGTGAGGCAGCGGCGGATCCGGCGGCTTCCTGCTCGAAGTCCCGTTGGAGCTAGCCGAGGGCATGGCGCTCCCCTCGGCGCGGCGGCCGATGCTGCCACCCTCCTTCTGGACAAAGTACTCATCGAACCAAACCAAGAAGTTCTTCAGCTCCAAGCTCGGCTTCTTCACACCGCGGCTCCACGATACATATTCTGGGGTCATCTTCAGCACTCGGCCATAGGAAGGCCCACGATGCTGGCCTGTAGCGAACACCGTATCGCGCCCTGGAACAGGGGCCAACTCTGGCGCCTCGAACTCCTCATCCGATACAGAAGCCATCGAAAAGTTCTCTGGCCCGTCGGAGGCGTCGGTCGCCCTCGAGGCGGCGCTCGGGGCAGCAGCCCTCGAGGCCGAGGGTCTGCCTGGCGCGGCCTTGCTAGGCGCGCGCAGGGCCATGAACCCGAAGTGCTCCTCGCCAGCCTCCGCTGAGGTCTGGGGGCTCTCCAGAGTCGCGGCCGCGCGCTCGCGCTCGGGGCTGGTTTGGGCCAAAGCAGCAGCGGCCCCCATGCAACCCCTGCACGCGTGCTCCTCTTCATGACCAGACAGCAAGCAACAATGACCATCGCAATCCTTTCCCTCGCAAGAACATGCCCTGCGACACTTCGAGGAGTGAGGGGAGAAGGAAGAGCAAAGGGAAACCTTGCCCGGATGCGACATGTTGCTACTATAAGTATGATGATGGATGGTGGATGATAAGGCAATGGTTCCTGTAGGCGCGAACTGATGATCGTCGCCTTCCTCGCGTAACCGAAGCTCTCGCTCTCCAGTGAACGCTACAAAGCCCGTCCTGGGTTTGCCCTTGCACTCAGGGTCCCCGGACCAGGTGGCCAATCTCATGGCAGGTCTTGCACTTGGAACGTTTCTTGATATCCTGGAGTCGCTTTTTACGGTCTTCCAGGGTCGGTGCTCCCTTGCCACCGCCCTTGGCCGGCAGTGTAGTTCTCCAAGGTGTTGAGTTGTTGTGACCTTTGCCTTTGCTTTTACCTTGACGACCTCCCTTGGTGCCCAGGTTGGCGACCAGGTTCTCTTGGATTACTTCGGAAGTTTCGTCATCCGTGTAGCCCGCGTTGACCATCTCGTTCAACACGTCTCCATCGAGCTCGCTCTCCTCCTGCACGGGTGACCAGAGAGCGTACGATCCCTCGTCGCCCCAAGTTTGGTCCTCCGTCTGCCCGTCTGCCATCCAGGCTATGTCGGTCCAGGTCGTGTCGTCCCAGCCGTACTCAGGAGTGTAGCCAGACGCGTAGTATCTGTAGGGACTAAGCTCCTCTGGATACTGCTCCCCCTGCTCGTACCAACCGTCGTCGGTGGCGTGGAAGGCCTGGGGCGGCCTGCTGTACCGGGTCTTGCCCTTGCCCTGGCTCCTGCTAGGGTAGCCGGGCCGATGCTGTGTCCACGACGAGGGGTCAGAGCCCTTACTCGACGGGTCTCCACCTTTGCCCTTTTGGCGGATGCGGATACGGCCGTGCTGGAGGATCAAAACATCCTTGATCTTGTCAAAGGTGGTCATATTACCTGTGGATGTCAGCACCATCAGGTTTTCCGAGGGTGAAAGCCCTGCATGGTCCAAGAGGAGGGATCCAAGCATGTCGTCACTCAGCACAAGCTTCGGGTCCAACTTGGTGACGAATTTCCACCAACGCTTCCTGCGGGAGATGTATGATACCATCGATTCACCGTTTTGCCTGGACAGAGGGCCGTAGGCCCTATGACCTACCTGGAACAGGATCTTGGCTTTCTGAGCCTCTATAGGGAAGAGTGAAGCACGAATCGCCGTTATCAGCTGGTCGATTCCTTTGGGAGTCAGAAGCGCGTCCTTACCGATATCCATGGCCATATCGAACGCGTCGCCTCTGAGGCCTTCTACAACTTTGTTGACGGCTGCGGTGACAACATGTGCCTGGGGTTCTCCTGTCTCTGCATCTACAGCAGACAAGGCAGCACTCATACGCATCTCTGTGCGGAACTCCCATTCGTGAAAGTTGTTCACGGTGTCATCGTAGATGTAGGAGCCACCCTTCGTCTCCGACTGAGTCAACGCGTCGGCGTTCGACCGATAGCGAAGGGAAGACAGCGCCATGGCGGCAAGGAAGCAATCCCCTCGTAAGGGTGGATGCCCAGTGCAAAGAAAAAGGTGAGGAGCTCTCCTCGCGAGAGGACGAGCCCTGCGCAGTGGTACGATGCCGAAGATCGTGTAGCAGCTCCGCTGCCAGTGTGATTGATGATACGTTTTCAACCCAAGGCAAAAGGGGCCCCTAAGAGCCAAGCGGCGGCGAGTGGCGTACGAGCGTGTCATACACACACTATATATCACAATCATCATCAGCAGCAGCATCATCATCGGTTAACATCATCATCAGCGTCACTACCATCACCATCGTCATCATCATCAACATCATCATCATCATCACCATCATCATCATCGTCATCATCAGAATCATCAACATCACCACCACCATCACCATCACCATCACCATCACCATCACCATCATCATCATCATCATCATCATCATCATCATCATCATCATCATCACCATCACCGTACACCTCCATCTCTTCGTCCTCCTCGTGCAAGTCCTCCGCTTCCTCCTCCATTTCGCTTTTTGTTCCAGGGTGCTTGACTCTGGCATGCAGTGTGTCTGGACGGGCTTGCGCACGAAACAGCATGCTGGGGGACCCACGCGGCGCAGCAGCAACAGCACGAAGTAGGAAAAGCAATCCCATCAAGAGACATGTGGCTCTTCGCAGCCTCTCCCCTTCCTCCGCCTCGTCCTGCCTTGTCCTCCTACCTCCACGCGTCCTCCTCACGATTATCCTCATGCACGCCCTCCCCTGAGATCCGACGTGGTGAAAAAATTGCAGCATCGTGAGGAATCGCGACCGGAGCTCAAGACCCCGCCTTCCTGCAACATGTTTTCGAGCCGGATCAACATGTGAGGATCCCGGGACCCGAAACCGAGCGAAAACGCCCGTTGTGTGAACAAATGAGGGTCATCCTCCGTCTACTCCTTCATCCTCACGTCTTCGTCCTCGTCCTCGTCCTCGCCGTTCTTCTCCCCCCTCTGTGTCTCCCATTCGGCATCCTCCGCCCCGACCACACCGGCCTCCACCCTCCTCCCTGTGCTGCTGCTTCTCGTGCACCTCCCTGTGCGCCTCCTCGCAGTCCTGCCCCCCGCCCCCCCTGCTTCGTCCCTGCTGCTCGTCCCTCGTCCACCATACTTCCTTTTTCAACCTGCTGCAACTCATCGCTTCTGTGCTTGTCTCCTCTCCATCCACCTGCTCCCAGTCACCTGCATCCATCCACCCATCCACCTCTCTATCCACCATCCGCTTCTGTGCTTGTCTCCTCCATCCATCCACTTTGCTCCCCCTGCTCTTTGAAGGAGCCCAGGGACACACACAAGCACAGACTCCAATGCTTTTCCACATATTCAAGAGGTTCGCCATCCCCCCACCCGCTTCCCAGATGTTCCTATATGATGCGGGGGATCGGCGCCTGATAGTGTCTGTGTGTTTCTTTTGTTCCTGCCTCACTGTTGCAGGACGGAGACAAAGAACAGCAACAACCGCAGGCGGGGCAGCGAAGATAACAAATGTTTGTGTACGTCTGTTTGTTTGTTTGTTCCTCCCCGACGCTTCCAGGACGAAGATATAAAACACAGGAGGAGGCGGAGGAGGAGGGCCCGCCCGTGCTCTGAGCCGTTCCGCCGCGAGCGGCCGAGCCCCGCACAAAACCCTCCTCGGCGAGCTGGTCTGCTGCGGGCGCTCGTCGGGTGCGGGCATGTCCAGCCCCCCCCCCCCCTCTCCCCCCTTCACACCGCTCCCCCTCGGCCTTCTGCTTCTCCTCCTCCTCTGCCTCCTCCTCCTCCTCCTCCTCCTCCTCCTCCTCCTCCTCCTCCTCCTCCTCCTCCTCTCCTCCTCCTCCTCCTCCTCCTCCTCCTCCTCCTCTCCTCCTCCTCCTCCTCCTCCCTCCTCCTCCTCCTCCCTCCCTCCTCCTCCTCCTCCCCTCCTCCTCCTCCTCCTCCTCCTCCTCCTCCTCCTCCTCCCTCCTCCTCCTCTCTCCTCCTCCTCTCCTCCTCCTCCCTCCTCCTCCTCCTCCTCCTCCTCCTCCTCCTCCTCCTCCTCCTCCTCCTCCTCCCCTCCTCCTCCTCCTCCTCCTCCTCCTCCTCCTCCTCCTCCTCCCTCCTCCTCCTCCTCCCCTCCTCCTCCCTCCTCCTCCTCCTCCGTCCTCCTCCTCCTCCTCCTCCCTCCTCTCTCCTCCCTCATCCTCCTCCTCCTCCTCCTCCTCCTCCTCCTCCTCCTCCTCCTCCTCCCTCCTCCTCCTCCTCCTCCTCCTCCTCCTCTCCTCCTCCTCCTCCTCCTCCTCCTCTCCTCCTCTCCTCCTCCTCCTCCTCCTCCTCCTCCTCCTCCTCCTCCTCCTCCTCCTCCTCCTCCTCCTCCTGTCTCCTCCTCCTCCTCCTCCTCCTCCTCCTCGGCTCGTCAGGCTGTCAGGACCAACCTTATCAAGAGCGTGGTCAAGACGGGACAGGAGCTCAGCAAAGTGGGACTCAAGATCGCCAAAAAGTCAGTCATCATGTGCACCACCATGCAGGACGCGCACATGGTGGCCAAAGCTATCAAATTGAAAGGGTTCACGGTGAAAGTTGCTCGGCAGGCCGCATACTTGGGAATAGACTTCTCATGTGGGCGTGGAGGCCGAGCCACTCGCACCCAGAGGCAAGCTAAACATAAGCGCATGAATGGTCAAATCGTTCGGTATTGTCGTGTTGGGAAAAGATATCAGCAGTTATCCAAGTTAGAAAAGAACGGAGGCCAGCCTGCGGGCACCTACGGCTTCCAAATCCACGGAATTTTCGGAGAGCAGTTGAAAAGGTGTCGACGGAGGCTAGGGCAGACATGTGGAAGTGGAGTTCGCGGTCGATGTTTGACGACATTATTAGACCTCAGGGCACCGTCGTGTGACCCAGGGGTATCATATCCAGTTCGCTGCATCGATTTGTGGATGGACTCCTGGCAGTCTCAGCCTGACCTGCGGAAGAGCATCAAGTATGTATGGCCACGGATCGTGGCAGATATGCGAGGTCGGCCGTCCAAAGATCAAGTTCGTGCTGTTAAGGGGCCCATCTCCGCCACAATAATGACACTGCTCAAGCTGGAGTGGGACCCAGTCAGTACGTCGGTTTGGTCATATGCGTCTCAGCACAACACGACGGAGGAGTGGCAGTTCCCAGATGAGATCTTCACGGGCAATAGGTGGCTGGACAATCACCGAGGGCTGCTTGCAGATGTTCGAAAGTCGGCTGAACTTATGCAATGGCGCCAAGCAGCTCGACATTATTGTGGAGGAGGCATGGAGGCAGGGGTCGACAATGAGTCCCTACGTCTTCTACTGCTTCAGGTGTCTCAACTCCCACATGGGCTGCGCCTGGCCGAGGTGCTGGTCAACATTGCCACAGGAGGCTTCTGGACGAAGCAGCGGAAGGTCGATGAACTCAAGGGCTATCGAGGTAATGCACTATGCGACCGATGTCGGGAACACCCTGAGACTCCATGCCATCGAGCGTGGGGTTGCCCCAAGAACACCGGCTCCCCATCCTACATGGCCTCGGAGGAGCTGGTGCCTCAGGCACTGACGCAGGTCGACACGGCTGAGTGTTTCTGGCTGAGGGGCCTCATCCCGTCCCAATGGCTGGTGGTCCCGACGGCGCCGACTGAAGCCCAGTGGGAGGTTGTCGGCATCAACGGCTTGACCCAGGGCGTGTTTGGAGAGGGTTCACCAGCGGCACCAATTCAGATATATGGTGACGCCAGCGGTGGAGCTGACTCGGCCATGACAAGGCTGAGACGAGTAGGTGTCGCGATTGTGTGCACAGAGCAGATATTTCCAGAGTTGCTGATCACGGGTGCTGTCTTCGGCCCCTTGGAAGGCGACCGCCAGGTCGTACCCAGAGGCGAACTGATGGCCCTGTACATGGCACTGTGGACTACCTCTAGATATTTGACCTACACCACTGACTGCGAGGCGGTCGCACAGGGGTGGTACGAGAAACGGTTCGCTCAACCCGCGGGGCTTGATGCAGACCTATGGCAGAAGATTGGCGAGCTCATGCACGCCAGAGAGTTTTGTGACGTTGTGGTTTTGTGGACCAGGTCGCATCTGGGACCCGCTGAGATGCTGGACGGAAAAGGTATCCGCTCCCTTGTCATCGGCAACGCCCTGGCCGACGAGT